ATTCCAACAGCTGAGAAACACCCTTGAAAGTGCCAAGAAGAGTAAGGTCCTAGTGAGATGATTGAGATTTGAGAATCCAAGAGAGAGGCCTCATTAGTGAAAGCAAGAGTAGCAAAGTGTGCATCCACCCTTCTCATTAGGCTTGTCGTGGTCAAGTGAGAATTCGTGCTTGTTACTCTTGGTGATCGCTATCACCTAGATGGCTTGATGGTGATTGGGAGCTTGGTGATCATCCAGCGGATCTTGTGGATGACCCAACTCAAGTTGTGAGCGGTTGTGGGTGATTCACCGTGACAGAGTGTCGAAGAATCAACCCGTAGAGAGCACTTGATCCTTGCGCGGATCAAAGGGGAGCTACACCCTTGCGCAGGTGCTCCAACGAGGACTAGTGGGGAGTGGCGACTCTCCGATACCTCGGCAAAACATCACCGCGTTCCTCCTTCTCTCTTTACCTTAAGCATTTACTTTGAGCAATTCAATTCTTATCTTTACATTCATAGAATTGCCATGCTAAAGTAGGATTGGAACATAGGTTACTAAACTTTGGTGCGTTAGAATAATAGAAACACTTTCTAGGCACAAGGGGTGAAGTGCGCTAACCGTAGGGTTTAATTATTGCAAAGAATTTTAGAATTAGCCCAATTCACCCCCCCCCCCCTCTTAGGCATCTTGATCCTTTCATAATGTTTACTGCTTGAATTTCACCGGAAGCTATGAAAACTATGCGAGCAAAACCTATTGCTGATGGGCACAAACCAATGACTAGTGCTGATGTTGTTCTCAAGGTCCATTGCCCCTCCCAGGTCAGTGGCAACACCCTTTTTTTTGAAGAATGATGGTATCCCGACAAGCTCCGCCAGAACAGAGACATCAGTGGAGAGAATGCTTTGGGAACAGCTTGTTGCTAATGTTGTTGAATAGGAAAGTTCCGCTAACCTCGTCGAACAAGTGGATGAACTGAAGAGAAAGACAAAAAAGACTGAAAAGGGAGTTTGGGGAGTTCAAGATACAGCAACAGGAAGAGTACAATAAGCTACGTGAGGATATCATGCACTTCAGCTCTTCTTCTGGTAACTCTCAGTCATCAACTCTGTTGGCTTGATGTAGTGAACATTTGTGGTTTGATGTGTGTACTCGTATGCTAGTTTGATGTGGTGAAACTGTTAGTGGGTTGCTGCTGATGTGTAAACAGTAATTTGTTGTGTTTGATTACCATGCTGAATAATTATGTAGACATTTGTTGAATAATTATGTAGTCAATCTGTGCAGCAGTGATGATCTCGAATTACTTTTATGATGAATTGATTGTTGAGCACGTGGTAGAACCTGAGCAGGCCATGTGATCAAATAAAAATGCGACATGTGGACGAACCAGTGCATGACACGTGAAATAGCCATGGCACGACACGTGGGCTAATAAAAATCTGACACGTGAAAGGAAGTCATCAAGCCACGTGGCCGGATAAAAAATGAAACATGGACGGATAGCACCTTGACACGTGGTCGAATAAAAAACGGCCATGTCGACCAATAAAAATAAGACACATGGTCCAATGAAGAAGTGACACGTAATCCATCGGCAACACGACACGTGTGCTAATAGAAAACTGACATGAGGAACAACAGGGAACCAACACGTGGTCCATTAAGAACCAGAAACGTGCAAGAACCAAAGATGACCATGTTGTCCAATAACAAGGTGACACGTGACCCGAACCATCTCCAATGGAACCAGCTATAGCATGTACACGTGGAAAGCATCTCTAATGGAAGCAACCGCCAGCGTGGCTGCACCATGCCACGCATGCCAAAACAGTTCTATGATGATGAATTTTTCGTCACGGATCAAGCCACTTCTATGACGAGTTTCTAGATTCGTCATGGAAGTTCAAGTATGACGCGGCTTCTATGACGAACCATTTTTCATCATAAAACTAAAATTATGATGAATTTAGCTCCTTTAGTGAGGAAAGTTGTTCGTCATGAAAGTGGATATTCCTAGTAATACTCTTTCTTTATATACAATTGGCTCTCGACAGACATGGGCTTGTAAAAATAAAATCATGTATATAAGTAAAAAAGGGAGCTGCTAGCGCCCGGACAGCCCATCCGGGATGCTAGCATCAGACGCTGCCACAGGTTGCACAACTGAATCATCAGACATTGCCGTAGGCCGTAGCTGGATATGGAGAAAATTAATTCACGTGCGCGTTCACGTGATTCGCTTGCATAGGCGAGGAACTCCCTATTTCTCATGCCACTCCTTTCCTGCACGCATGGAAGCCCATGCCTACTCCGCTTCCTATGCGCACGCGGGACCGCCTGCGCCCACGTGAGTCCCGATCACATGCCCCGCCTATGGATAAACGCTTGGATGCGTCTGCCAACCTTAGGCACCCGCACGGTGACCCACGGCGACGCCTGCAGTTGCAACAGGCGGCTACAGTAGATGGGTCCTATTGCAACATGTGCAACACTAGATCTACTTTTATAACATCTAGATAAAACACTTGCAACATACATCCTCAATAGGTGAAACACTTGCAACATACATATGAAACACCAGAAAAACACATGTGTAGTTAATGCAAACATATGCAACGTCTAGATAAAACACTTGCAACATATGTATGAAACAGCTGAAATACTTGAAAATACATGCTTACAGCATGCATTTATATGCAACATCTAGATCCACTTTTGCAACATCCAAAAAAACACTTTCAACATATGTCTGAAACAGATGAAACATTTGGAACATATACTTGAAGCATAAGTGTATAACCATTGCACTATGTGCAACATCCCGATCTACTTTTGCAATAACAATATATAACACTTACAACATACCTCTAAAACATCTGAAACACTTAAAACAAATATTTACAACATGCGCTTTCAGCGCAACATCTCCTTGCTGCTTGAGAATGGAGGCACATCGGTACGTGGAGTTCACCGGTGTAGAGCTCGCCAGTGGCGCGGAGCTCGCCGCTCTGGTGGAGAAGTCACGGCAGGTCTAGTGGAGAAGGTTGTGGCGGGTCGCTCTGGTGGAGAAGGCGAATGCGCGCTGGAGAAGGCTATGAGGCGGAGTGGGGCACGCGCTAGAGAAGGCCATGGTAGGTCGCTTCGGTGGATGAGATAAGGAGCGGTAGCGACGATGGCACAGAGGGCGGGTGGGTGCTGGAGCAGGAAGCTTGGATGGGGGAGGATCTATGGTGGCCTGGATTTCGTGCTGCCCAACACGGGCGCGAGTGGACGCCGTGACTGGAGGCGGAGGGGCGGGCGGCATGGTGAACATGGCAACGGCGCGGAGTGGGAAAGTTACGGTCGTAGTCTCGTAGAGATGGGGGAGTAGGGAAGCAGGCCGGTTGCCTATTGGGCCGATTCGCGTGCAGGCCGAGGAGGACAGCGTCCGTCGAACGCCCTACAACAAGAATTACCATAAAAAGAAGTCATGTATTTCAATTTGAGTGGTGTTAACACTAAAATTGGGCCCATGCCAATTTTAAGAGGCCCTTGCCAGTTTTGGCCCATTCTAAGTGACATAATAATAGTACCACATTGGTTTTTCAATGGGATAAGACCACCCCTACTCCCTATAAAATAGGGGGTACATGGCCGATTGAGTATCCCAACTTTCAATCGTCAAAATACAACATAAACTCTCTCTTTGCCCTATCTTTTCTAACCCTATGTTGTTCATCGCTTGATCCGACGACTAAGGATGGCGCCGTAGGCTTACTGGCCGACCTAGGGCAACCTGACAACGTCCCCGATGGGGTCTCTCTCGTGCGAGAACTTCGACGGTTTGTTTACTAGTTTGTCCGGAAACTAGCCATTCTTTATCACGTAAGCGCGATTGCTTATCCTTTGGTGGTTCGCTCGTAAACCTCTCCGGTCTTCACCCAACGTAAGTGTGATCCTCGCTGCGTTCTTCGGTCTATGGCGACCCCGAACGATCTAGACCCAGCTGGTGTGTGATTCAAAATTAATCCGACATTAGTAGGTGGAAAAAAGAGAAACCATGCTAGATTTCAAAACATGACATAAAGACAAAATGGTCATTTCAGGTACATCTTAATATCATTTAATAACATAATAGATGGAAGTGGCAGTGTGGCACGTCCAGGAAACATAAATTAAAGATTTAAAGTGGATGATAAATACCGAGAGGACTCAAAACTTTGTAAGGCCAGTCTCAATGGCAGTGTCATTGCACGGTTTACAAAATTAACACGTCATCAAAAGTGAAATGAAACCCTCCGTGAAACTACCTCCACAATGTCGGGCTTTTTCACTCGATGTTTCCAATGCTAAGCAAAGTCATTAATTCATCGCAGAGTTCTTTGGGATCATTTGCACCGATGAATCATGTAGCTAAATACTTGAATTTCACACATCCATCGCCTCTAGCAAAGAGCAATACTTGAATTTCACACACACACATTCACATACACATTCAGATTCAGAGAAGGCCTCCATGTGCATATATATATATACGCACATTCAGGCCACATGCTTTGCGTGACACATACACATTCGGTTTTCACACGCATTTCACATTCGGTTTTCACACGAAGTAGAAATTGACATGATATCAAGGTAGATAACTTCAGATAACAAGCAAGATAGCACCGTGTTTCCGACATGGACCATAGTCACGAGTTCAAGATTTAACCAACGATTAGCTAAAGATAATTGAGATTAACTAAAGATAGAAAGCACTCGCATATGATTGTTCAAATTTCATACGATTGTTCAGTTCATACAAGTTCATACTACTTGTTCAAAAGATAGAAAACACTTTGCATATTACATAGTGAAGTTCGGATAATCGGAACATCGGGATAACTTGGACGATATAGATTCTTTAATCCTGAACTAAGCTAGATAACCGGAGAGTAAATTGACGATGACCATTCAACCAACAATGCCGAGATGCACCCATAGGATTCATAAAGATTCTTTCACCTGCAAAAATAAAGATAGTGGTGCACGGATCAATCACCTACAAAGAAAAATTCTCACAACTATCACACACATAACAAATTAAACATGATTGCACTAACCGGTACCAAATAATCAAAGCAAGACTAACTAGCTACCAAATTAATAATCGCCGTCGGTGCTTTCGATCGATACGAGTGAATCGACCCTTCCATGCATTTGGGCATCTTTCCCATTGCCAATGCATGCAATCAATGCTACCGAACATACTGGAAAAACCTCGCCTCTCACCAAGTTTCATGAGACGTTCAAGATCTTCCATAGTGAGGCGCCTCAAATATCTTTCACCAAACACATCTCTAACACCTTTGACAAAATTCTTCATCGCCTCCATTGCAGTAGTCTCCCCAATCTTCAAGTATTCATCTAGTTCATCTGCAGCACTACCAGTAGCCAATTGGCGAATAGCTGCAGTACACTTTTGTAGTGGACTCAGCCCTTGCCGATTAACAGCATCCACCCTTTGTGTAAAATAATTAGACCATTGGCCTAAGGCCTCAACAATGCGTAGGAAAAGTGGCCTAGACATACGAAATCTTCGGCGAAAAATATTTGAAGGATAAAGAGGATTTTCTGAGAAATAATCAGTCACTAGTTTCTGATGTGCTTCCTCTCGTGGCCGTTTGATGTGTTTCCTCGGATGGGATCGATGGTCATAAGCCTCTTTCTGAAGACCTTCGATGGTTGATTGTATAACAAGCGTGGCTTCATTGAGAACATCATCTATGATCTGACCACTACGCTCAGCCTTTGCTGCTTCTCTACCGATGGGACGGCATTGTCCTTCTGGAACATCAACTATCTCAGTCTTCTCTTTCTCTGTTTCCTGAAACTGAGCACACCATTTGGGCTCCTCTTTTAATACCTTCCACCAATGCACCAACGAAAAGCGCTTTCCAAATCTGGTTTCATACATTTTCTGTGCCTCTTCCTCTAGCATGTCATCCGAGTATCCGCTTGTATACATTTGAGTTACCTTAGTCCAAGCGTCATTGAAATCAGTGATTGATGACTTGAGGCGTGACCAGTGAACCTTCAATTGGTTTATTTCCCTTCTTCGCTTCCCATTCCCTTTCTTGTTAAAGTTATCAGTCACTTCCTTCCAAAATGTTTCAAATTTCTTGTCATTACCCTTAACTGGATCTTTACTAGCATTCAACCAAGCACTGGCCTACAAAATGCAAATAAAAAAAATATATGAACAAATCAAGTGACTTGTACCAAACACTACCCTACAAAGGAAAATAAACAAAACTAATAAGTGATTACCAGTCTTTCTTCCTCGTCATGAGTCCAATATCTTTTATTCAACATCCTATTTGCCTCACTATTATCCCTTCATCATTGTCCACAATCACTGCTCTCCTTTGCTAAAGTGCCTTGTTTCACACCTTGGGATATTCTTGTTGCATGGACACTTGGTGGTGGTGGGGATATTGGGTTCAAGCTCATGGTCCGACCAACAAAATGAAAATTTTCTCCTATGTGTGGGTGTGGCGTAACCGAGGTCGTTGAAGAAAATTCATAAAACCACCGGTGGATAAACAGCCCCGACATTTTTACAACAGATAAAAAACAACATTATTTCAACTACAGTTCTATTTATTTGATGAAACAATATCCATAGGTGTCTCAATTGAGTCTACAGGTGGATGCTCATTCACTCCACAGTCTCTACAGTGTTGATGCATGCGATAACTAACATTATTCCAACTACAGTTCTACTCATCATGTCTCAATAATAATTGGTAGATTGAGATGCATGACTAGTGATAAACTTAATGCCTTCTTGTAAATAGAGTGTTGATATCAATTTCAAAAATATAATTGTTTTAGCAATATAAAATTATGACTTCATTCATTACTAGAGAAATTTAAGCATCTCGGATCATCATCAAATACTAGTAATCTACAATTCACTCAAATGAATTTTTTATATACTCAAGTGAATATTTTTATCTACATTACTGCTCTAGTTAACTGTATTCACTAGCACACACACATACATCCATTTGTAATTTATTCAAAAAACTAGCGATCGATTTATACACACACAAATGCTTTCATAGATTGAAATGAAAACATACCATAAATTTTGTGCTTGACGATTTCCTTCTTCAGATTGAAAATTTGAGGGCATGGCCCCAATCCCCCCTTCTGTTGGAATCCAAGACCACACGCCTTGCAGAGAAGGGGATGAAGTCGGCATGTAGTGGCAGGGAAGAGTTCACGGAGAGAGGGACGGTCAGGAGGGGGCGGAGGAGTGTAGGGGCGGTGGCGCAGAGAGGGGGAATCAAAAAGAAGACGGTCGAGGGGGGGCGCCGATGCTAGAGAACGCCGCCTTCATTCCAAAAACGGCCATAAAGACAAAATGCCATCCATGGCTCTAGATAGGCACCAGTGGTGGTGCGGCAGAGCGGCGAAAGATGATGCGACGGGACGGAGAAAAAGGCAGCGCGGAAGAAGAAAGCGCGGAGATGGGGAGGACCGCCGCAGGAGATGGGGAGGACCGCTTGGCGGGAGATTGGGAGGATGGAGATGGAGAGGAATGGCGCGAGACGAGGAATTCCGCGCCGATGAGCACGGGATCCATGGAATGAAATTTTTCCCCTCAATGGTGGTGTCGTCCGAGATTTAGCTCTAGGAATCGCTGCGGTCGGAGTCCGTTCGGACCCACGACACGAACTTCGTTTCTCTCCTCCGGTTTCATTCATGTACGATTCTATTTTTTTTTTGGACGCGATCTAATTAATGTGCATGACACCCCTGTGAAATCTGCATTGAGACTGGCCTAATACACCAAGTAACGCATTCTCGCTTGAGTTGGGGCCAGGACAGAAGAGACGTTCAGCAATTGATTACTCCTCACGTAAGCAACTACCGGGACCGGGTCTGCGCGCTCATCAATGCTACAGCAGTAGATCTGATCCCAACGCTCCTCTGTCGGTGAAACACGCTCCAAAAGCCGTGGCTTCCGCCCACCGCAGCCGGGCATTAACCGTTTCCTCGCTCCCTCCGATCCCCCCACCGCCGGTTCCTTCCGCCCTTAGCTTTCTTCTGTTTCCCAGCTGACCCCAACCGCCCGACCGACCTCCCAAATCCAAACCCGCGTCGCGTGCAGCCGCCGCACCGCACGCACTCCTTCTGATAAACCCTCTCCTCCTGATCGGCGTATGGCCACAGCGCCCGCGCCGCACTCCGCCACCGAGGAGACGACGAGCAGGAGCAGCCATCACCACCACCAATGACGCCGCACATGCCGAGGGAGCACCGGCAGCGGCACGCGCCGCCCGGGGAAGTCCCGCCGATGAGCGCCGAGGACGTGGCCGCCATCGAGGCCGTCCTCGGCTACGAGTTCGCCGACAAGTCCCTCGTCGAGCTCGCGCTCACGCACGGCTCCTTCTACTTCCCCTACCGCCCCGGGGACACCTACGAGCGCCTCGAGTACCTCGGCGACGGCGTCCTCACCTGCCTCATGTCGCGGGAGGTCTTCCGCAACTACCGCACCCTCCCACCCGGCCCGCTCACCAGGCTCCGCGCCGCGAACGTCGACACGGAGAAGCTCGCGCGCGTCGCCATCGACCGCGGCCTCCACCGCTTCCTCCGCCACAAGGCACCCAAACTCCAAGACCAGGTTGAATACTAGCAACTTTTATTGTCCGCCGCTACCTGTGTGGTGTGATTGCCTTGGGATAGATGTTTGTGGAAAGCGACAGCCAATTCATCCGGCCCCTTTAGCTTCTTGGAGAGGATCAATTTTGTCCCTTTGCCTGCTGATTCTTGATAATATATATACTTTTGTCCCTTTGCCTGCTGATTCTTGATAATATCTATACTGCAAATGCTATCCAATTGGCAAACGGATTCGGGATTCGTAATCAGGATCATGCTTGTAGTATCTTTTTGTGTATTCGAATTCTACTAGGTACAGTTCAGATAACGAATGGCATGTGCTGTCCTTATTGGCTGGGTTTCTGGGCCCTGGGTAGGATCTCCTGCCATTACTTTCCGCTGAAAGGGGAGAATCTTTTGGTTTCCACCTTTTCCTCTGTTCCAGCCAGTATCTTTTAGCATTCAGACTTGGCATATTTTTAACAGGGGTGATGCTAATCGAAGAAGATCTTGTGCCAAACTTAATCATTTTAAGCTCCCATGCACACGGTGAATGAACTTGGCGTTGCCCCTTAGTTTTAAGAACATGTTAAGCCAATATTTAGTCTTGTATAATTGGAGTGTGTCCCACCCCACCCCTACCTTTATACATATTAGCATCACTACCAGTAACTTAGCTGGCCTCATTAAGAGAGGGATTGCAGTCAGACACTCAGACAAATGGAACCGAAAATTTTGATCTTTGTAACATCAAAAGGCAGGGCATCACTCTGCATGCCACGATCACTGCCTTATTTACATTCTGACTGATTGAATGGCATTGGGACATCAGCAAAGCACAAGTAGAAAAACCCTGTGTGTTTTGTTCGCTGCCTGAGAGCCATAAAGTGCTCTGATTGTCATTATATTTAAAAGGGCGTACCCAGTGCAGAGAGCTCCCGCTCTGTGCGGGGTCTGGGGAAGGGTGTCAGTGACAAGCCTTACCCTCGCTTATACAATGCGAGGAGACCGTGACTCGAACCCGGGACCTTCCGGTCATAGGCGGTAAGACTCTACCGCTTGCAACAGGCCCGCCCTTCCTTGTCATTATATTTGAGAAAAGAAAATTTGTCATTTCTGTGACAAATAGAGCATTCTATTTTTATGGCAATGTCCATTGTTTGTAGTCAAAATATGTTTCTGATATTATCTAAATGAATACATAGCTAAGTGAAACTAATAACGAATGTTCCTATGTGTTTCTTGTGCCAATTAGTAATATACTAGTTGTTAGTGCTAGTCTTCTCCATTGAAGCAGTAAACTTTAGGATTTCATCTGGCCACTTAATTTTTTTACAGGATTTCTCGCTTGTCAATTCATCTTTGTAGTTGTTTATGCATTGTAGTGCTAAACACTTCAACTTTTAATGCAACATACATCCTAGGTATTGCATTTTAACATGTTCTTCAAATGAACAATATGAAAGATGGGTATCAAGTTCTTACCATGAAAAAATTAACCTGTCTTGTCTTTTCTTGTCCCTTATACAAATATTTGTAAGCTATGCACATGGATAAAGGTAAAAAATAATCAACTAGATCGTATCCAAACGTAAACATGGTGTTGGATGACCTAAAGTCTACCACAGTACCCTCACCACTTCGCGCTTCTGCATCCCACAGCAATACATTATTACATAGGGATTATCTAGATTACTGTTATGCTTTATCTTATTTACTTCTGTTCTGTTTTGAGTGATAACTTTTTTATTTATCCTTCATGTTCTGGCGTTTACAGATCTATTCTTTCATAGAAGAAATGCGCAAATATCCAGTTCACTCAAATGGACTATTGGATCCTCCTAAAGTTCTGTGTGACATTGTGGAATCTCTTATTGGTGCCATATACTGGGACTCCAACTTCGACCAAGAGGAGGTTTGGCGGGTATCTATTTCTCTAAACTGAGAAACCTTAATCATTGCTTTTGAGTTAACACTTGCTGATATTTCAGTTTCTTATGTCAGGTCTTTCGAACTTTGGCTGATCCACTTATTGGCTTAGAGACATTAGGCAAGCACCCGGTAACTGAGCTTTTTGAGTTTTGCCAAAAGACTCACCGAGGGGTGAAATTTGTGAAAGATGAATGGGATAAGAGTTTGAAGGTTGAGGTGTTGATTGATGGTGAGCTAGTTGCAAGTGCTACTTATGGTCAAAAGAAGGAGATAGCTCAGAACCGTGCTGCGAAGGCTGCTCTGGATAAGCTAAAGGAAACACTTGGACAGACCCAAAGTGAATCAGCATCAGCAGATGTTTCTGAGGCATTGGACGAACTAGACATAGCTGGAACACTAAAATGTCAGTGACATACAGATGCATCATAGGTTCAATGAATGGCATGTTCTGTTATGTGCTTCTATGCTTCACCATTTTAACAATTTAGTCCTAATGAAATGGTGAAGCATAGAAACACTAGGTTGGTCCATTTTCATTGAATTTCTTTGTTGCTATGTAATTATCGATATTCAAACACTGTCGTTACCAGCAATTTAGGTGACAAGTTACTAAGATCTTGCTCAATCGATTTAATTTCAAGCCTAACCTTTTATTTTTGAAGTGCATCAGGGAATCACAACCCAATATTATGTTCTGTATTGCAAGGAGTGATGCTCCGGCAAGGGATTGTTTGAATCATACATGTGACTGATTTTGCTGGCATTGTGTTGGTGTTTGTTTTAGCTAAAATAACCCTGTAAAGATCTAGTTCCTGCTCATATATGATGGCCAGGAGTTTAACAATAAAAGGTTATCTATATGGAGGGGTATATTGTAGTTTTATCATTACTTTCTAAATCAGTCAAAGTTTGTAAAATTCTATTTCACAAGTTGGTAGCTTTCACAAGTTCCCAAAGAACTCAAACAAGATGGCTATCATAAATTAGCCAAATTAACAAGGTAGACAATCTGCCCTTTGATTTTATTTTATATTATCTGTCCATTCTATTTTTTATTATCAGTCCATTATGTCTGGAATGACTGTATTTGATATGATGATAAATGGTGCTATTTTCATATAAAACTTTGTCGTTTTCACAAACTTAAATGCAGCTATTTTCTCATTGTAGTTTTCTAAAGAATGAGCCTTTAGCACTTACCAAGGCTAATATGCAGTTTTCTCATTGATGTGTGTGTTATTTAGAACACAAGCAGTAATAATCTGTGGAGGTGAAGAGGGCCCAACTCCTTTTATCTCCCTTTTGCAGTTTGTGTTGTGTGTGATCACACGTGTTTGTTGCAAATAATCTTATTCCTAGTACTAGTAGGTCCTATGGTTGCAATTTTGGTTGATTTGTTGCATACTCTTATGCCATCTACTATGGCCGCAGTCAGAAGTGGAGGCACCCCATTTAAGTATCCGCGCTCTACGCTGTCACTGCCATCCTCTGATCCTTCGGCGAGTAGCAGACCAGCTGGTACTGATGCATCGTTTGACGTATGAAGTTTTCACCTTTATCCTTCTATCTTCATATGCATGTGTTCAAGAGTTGCTATCTGAATATCTGATGACTCATTTGCTGAGTTGGTGCTTGCTGGATCTTTGTACAGTGATATGCATTGGGGCAGCATGGGATGGCTTGCTGCTTCAATTCAGTGTGTTATATTTACCTAAAAATATAGCAAGATGGAGGTCTGTCCAAACTGTTGTATTCTGCCATTTACTAGTTCGTATTACCCCAGTGTGAATCTGGATTGCACTGGACTAAGTATTGACTACTTGCTGAACTTTCAGATCTCAAGACTGGATACGGTTTTGTGGCACTTGTTTGGATACAGTTGAAGTAATGCGTCTCTCCAAGATTTACTTGCTCTAGTGAAGCGCCGAGAACTCTTCAGTCAGTTTGCTTGTGTTCTTTGTTTTTTGCAAGGTGTGTAGCCTGATCTTTTATCGTATTCTTTCAGTCTCTCTGCAACTCTGTCAGTCCTTGTTATGCTGCTCTGTTTTTTTTTCTGCTATTAGAGATCAATTGTTTCTGCATTTTGTGACGAGATCCTGTTTGGGGTAAAGAAATCTGCTATCATACATACTGATATCAGTCTATGTCAACCGTTTGGTTGCATCCTTCAACTCTGCGCTTCTGGTACATCAGTTGCTCCTTGGTTTGCATCTTTTCCTACTCGAACTGCATGTCTGCTATGGCATTCCAGTTTTTCTTTTTCTTTTTAAGTTTCCATTCAGTCTTTCATAATAGTGATTCAGTTTTTTTTTAACTTGTTGGCCATCAGGGTTGCTGTATGTAGCCTTATTGTCCTACGTGATAGTAAAGCACCATCTAACTTCATAGTATGATTGTGCAGTGCTCTGACATTGATATGTAGTGACTTTTTTATATTTTTCACCTCCTTTTGTTTTTTCTTTTTTCTGATATTTCCTGATTTTTGAAGACATAGTTTCTCAATTATCTGTATTGGAGCTGTCCAAAATGGCTGGAAAAGGTAAGCGGTTCTCTTCCCTGGAAAAAGTCTGCCAAACAACGGCAGGGCAGCTTCCCCGTACGTGGATATCTTCCCAGCGGTAGGGGAATGGATGATCCAAAAGATTTATCCGCAGGGGCTACAGTCCCTGGGTTTATTTCCCCGTACTGCCAAAGTAGCCCTAAGAGTTATGAAAATTTGAAGTTTTTCTACTAAAACTTTTGTCGTGTTTTTTTTAATTTTTTTGCAATCCACGCGTATCACCATGACGTATCACCATGACGGTCTGCGCACACTTCAACTAAACGTAGGCTATGTATCAACTTTCAAATCTTTGGAATCCATTGTATTGTTGCGCACAACATGTAAAAGGTATGGATATTTATCTGACCGTCCGTTACCGTCCGGTTGACCAAATGAATGTGAACGCCCATTTAGATAGTTACTTGGATATCTGGATTTTTTTTAATATACAAATATAAAAATGGGTACTCTATTTGGATATCAAATACAAACGTAATATTGCTCGCTAGTATCCGGCGGATATCGGATAATAATCCGAAAAAAAAAGACAGAATGCATCTGACCTACCCATGGCCGATAGTATCCGGCCAGTAGTCCAAGACCAGCCAATCAGGCCATTGTTGGGTTTTTATTTGTATACAATATATGCTCGTGCGTTGCACCGGGGTCACGAATTTTCGTGCGCGTGGCTTGCAGCTTTGTCAAACATGTTAAGAAATCTAGAATTCTAATATTTATCTTTTCTTATATAGAGGGCATGTGCAGGCTCTTTCCAGCCATGATGGAAGTATGCAAGTGGGTGTGTTTGGTTGCATCCGAGTACAGGATACCGGATGAGCAGCGTCGTGTTTGGTTCCCCGTTTGCACCGTTTCGATGTATGAACTGGTGATTCCAGTTCTTGTTTGGTTGCCCGTATTGCCCTAGGTCTGAGTACCCATGTATGAGTTTGGCGTGGTTACCACCAGCTATTATAGAATGAAGAAGAATAGAATGAAACAAAGATAACTTTGCCTCAGTTCAATAAGCTTGGCATTGACAATGACCTTGGAGCTTCTAATGACATAAACATGACAATAGTACTCCCAGCAAATCATAAATAAGGGCGTGATTGGTTGCCCAAAAGTCACAGTTCCTCACAAGGTCATTGTCTCCACACGTTTTCATATCATTTTGAAACCATCACAAGCAATATATAACAATTAGAGGCACCTACAACAATGCTTAGCAATGAAAAACTCAAGCATCATCAAAATAAACGACCGAACCAAAGCAATAGCCGGAACCCATGTTGCAGGCTTCATTGTTCTTCAACATATGCATGTAGGCTGTCAGTGACAAGCTCTCTACTACGGAAAATGTCACAAAGTTAGAAAAAATGGACCCTCCTCATTCTAAGAAGGTTGACACAGTGCACATCATCAGATTCATAGATGTATCTAAGGTTGTTCAGGGTTGTTCATCCTCTGTATGTCCCTTTCAGCCAAGAGAACATAGGTGACTGAGCGCGAATCTTCAACTCTCCTCCTAAACCACATGAAAAACCAAGTTGCCACTGCAACAACCACAGCAGCGGCAGCCCTTCGCCTAGCTTCAAATGTCATGTCTACCACAACAGGATGGAGGGCAACATTAGAAAGTGAGCATGCAACATGGGTGTGTACTGCTTAGCAAGAAAAAAATCAGATAAAATGAACAATGAAAGACGCGGCTGCCACACCAAAGGGTGCTCCTCCAGCGTATACTGTTACCCAATCAACATCATTGACCTCTAGACACTTTGCTCAGTGTGTACAACAAAATAGGCATCAGCATGTACAAGATCTACACAAAAACATGAGGTATAAACAAAAAACAAAGCATCATGTACAGATCTGAGCTAGGAACAGGTAAATTAGGTATAGCATCGTACAGATCTGAGGATGTCAAACTAAGAACCCTGATTTCTTGGTATTTCAAGCAAAATCCACTAACAAATCAACAAAATCGACAGTAAAGAAGAGGAGGGGAAGAGCGCAGGTGGCATATATATATCGTCCAAGCGCCGGAGGACCGAGAAAAATCTGCCTACGAGGGTCGCCTCGATAGGGCTACCGAGGTCGAGGGGGAGCAAGACGGAAGTTCGCACCGGAGCTATGGCAGAAGGAGAGGCGAAGAGTGAGGGTGGTAACCTAGCCGAGACCCCACGCGCGCTTTATGGCCCAGACGGCCTCATCTCCTGCGCTTGGCGTGAAGGTTCTCACCAAGCACCGAGCGAACCTGCACCGAGAGGAAAGTGGAGATCGAGAAAACGGCAGCGTCCGGGATGAAGGAGCGAATCTGTACAGGAGAAAGCAGAAAAAAAATACAAGTAGGACTATGACAACCAAATACAAACGAATACATGAAAGGATGCGAAGGATGCGGGATGGGTGATGAATACATGAAAGGATGCGAAGGATGCGGGATGGGTCAAATCACGGCCCGGTTCGGACCAGCGATCACGCCCTGTGGATCGCGGCGTTAACTGTTCGTGTCGCGTAGAGCTTCGTCGGTTGGCTGCCTCAGCGGGATAAACAATTTTTTTTAACGAGCGGGATAAACAAATTGACAGACGTCCGAGGCGGAGCGGCGCAGATCGATAACCTTACCCGTAGATCGATAACCTTACGTGTCTTAGGTGTATATATAAAATAATAATAATAATAGGTAATAATAAATAATAGATATACATAGAAGATAGAGATGTTGGAGTGTACGTGCAAGCACGGGAGCATCCGCTGCTTCTGCTGTCACACCTGCTGGCACAGGTCAATCAGCACCAAACCCAGAACCAAAACTAGTTATATATTTTCAATTTCCAAATTTAATATTTCGTCTTCTCAAAGTTATTGCCTGAACAAGGCAACAGCCAACAAGGCAATATTGCCTTTGGAGTTAGGACAGGCCCCATCCCTCCTACTTTATAATATACCTGGGCATGAGTGCGTTGTTGTGCTAGCGAGGTGGGATAAATTTGATTCCTTGCGTCAGCAGCATCCAGGACGCAACAGCGCTGACTGGGTCCAATAGCGCTGGTTTGGCCCAAATCCAGTGACGAGCCTGGGACTATAGTCTGTGAGCTCTCTGCCTAGCTAGTTTGCATTTCTTTCACCTTCCATGTTTTTTAAATTTTGTTTTCAAAGGTAAATAATGAAAATTAATTTTAATGTTTCATAGTGCTAGCCATGTCATGTAGCTACTCATCTATAGTGGATCGGGTTTTCTGTAATGCACCACTTGAGAACTAGGCACCACTACAACTACAACCATGAGCTAGGCCAATTCCGTGATCATCAGATCAGCGAAGGTGCCGCGGTGAAGTTGTCAATGCAAATGACCCATGAGCTTGACTACTTCCCACTCGTGTAATGAAGTATCTCTTATTCGTTGCTTTACTCTTTAAGCTTAATTTAGATGGATTCTAGACTCATAGAGTAGTGTAATGGTTTGCACACCTAATATATGTATTTTGATAATTTTTACAATGGTTGTCGAAAAATAGACGGCTCACGAGGAGTGATTCGACGGCTAAAAAGGTAGAGGAACCGAGAGGAACCAATTGGAGAGGCACCGGGAGGCACCAAGTGCGTACTAAATGGTGGGACCATACGCACCAAGTGCATACTAAAATTAGTGGGATCAGTACCTTAAAAAATGGTGCGATAATTCTATTTTTGAATTTCTTTTATACAATTAAGGGTACAATGGTAAATTTATAATACAAAATAATGTTTAAGTAGTATAGAGATGATTGAATTAGGATAGTTTGTCACATGTATTTCTTAAATTCCGACCGTCCGTTCTTTCGCTCCGAGCGTCCGTGCTGCGGCGGCACCGGCTGCCAGGGCGAGGGCGAGGCAGGGCTGCGGCGGCGCCGGCTACCGGGGCGAGGGCGAGGGCGGCCAGAGCACGCGATAGCTTCTCACCAGTCCCCGGCGAACGGCGCCACCGCGTAGATCCGGCGAAGGCGGTGGAGGAGGCGAGATCCGGGTCCGGCGGCGTCCGCACTCCTGTTCGCGGCGGCGTCGGCCGTCCCAGCTGCCGGGAGGGTGCGGGCGGCGTGGTGCGCGCGTCCGCGGACGCGGCGGTCCGAGGTCACTCAAATAGGCCGCCACGAAGACGGTGGAGGGGGCGAGATCCAGGCCCGGCGGCGTCCGCGCTCCCGTTCGCCAAGGCGGCGGCCGTCCCCGCTACCGGGAGGGTGCGGGCGGTCCATGGTGTGCTACGACGGCGGGTACGCGGTGCACATGGTGTTCGACGGCAGCAAGCTAGGGATCGAGCCGCAGGCCGTCCAGATCACCCCCGCTGTCTTCGACGACAGCAAGCTGGGGATCGAGCCGTACGCCGTCAAGATCACCCCCGCCGGCGACCTCCTCGTGCTGACTCCATCAACAGCAACATCTACAGGGTCCAGCTGCCGCTGTCACCATGTGAGCATGCTCTGCCTCCGACCAGTCCCTGCCCGTTTTAGTTTTTTCAGGTTTTAGCCTCATGTTGGACAGGATGACATGAGCAGTACAAAAGATGGGAGAAAAGAGCAACAGCTGACCGAATTACTAATAGAATTTTTAAGTTGCAATACACTAGATTACATGATATAGGTACCAGTTAACACAAATTAGGTTATCAGTAACTTTCCAATTTCCAAAGGGGTGGTAAAGTTGTGTTCAGAGAGAGAACATAATGAAATCACCAGTTTTGTACTTAGTAACAGTTATTAAGGTCGTTGTATGATAGTACCAAATTCTATGTTATATCTGGTGCTTTGCTTTTTTGTTTATTGCATTTTAAACCAAGCAAAGTTCCTTTGGATTGTCCTTTTGACTGAAAGCTGACCCTTTCTATCCTAGGTTAGACTACACAAATTCTAGGCTATTCATATTCTAATAACTACATCAGAAAACTATCCAGTTGTGCTATCAAAGCTACAAGAAGGATTAAAGTTTGAAACTGATAATGGCTATGTACTCCTTCCTCTAAATCCAATTGAGGTACATTGTCTTCCCTTTTTATGGTTTAGGCAAACTCTAGTTGGCTTGTATATCAGATGACTGCAGGTGGGTGCTGGCCTTCAACTGGAAATACCTTCCATGTTGCTGTAATCATAAGGATTTTCATATTTCTGTGTGATAAAAATATTTCCTTTGAACCACGGGATGGAGTGCATTTGTCATGTGTGTGGTCCTTGATTTCTGGACGGTAGCCTATTGTTTTGCTATTAGCACTTGTGGGTTGTGACAAGAATTTTCATTAGAGTTCACTAGACCAAATATACATTGGAAATAATAGTAACATATTATCTTTACCTTTTTCCTGTTCTTTTAGGTGGAGTTACAAGTGTTTCGTAAGGAATTGGATAGATCTGAAAGTTTTACTGTGTCAATACCTGCACACACTGGTGGTGCAATGCCTGCATCTAGCTATTTAGATCAAAGCTTGACAGGTATCTCATATTTCTATACTTTCATTTTTTTCTAAATAATTTTACATGGTAATCTGCAGGAAGTTAGGAGTTGTATTTCTTGTTCTGTAGAGACTGGACTCCCTCTTAAAAGATGATTAAATCTTTCATAAGGAAAACCTGTTTGATTGAGTTTTCATGAATTTTACTAGGCAAAAGATCATCAGGGGTATACTTTAATTTTGTGCAGAAGATGATGCACTTCTGTGCATGAACACTGAAAAAACCAGGCTATCTCCATAGTGCACTACTAGTAGCAAGACAGTTACCATAGGGCAAAGTGAAGAAAAAACGGAAGAGTTGAGCAAGGATAAGGATATTCAACATATTAATATAAGAGGTGAAGAGCTTTTTAATCTTTTATTGAATGATTTCTTTCTCTGATGCAATTTTGTAACGATTTTATTGGATCTTTGAATAGAAGAGAAGCATCCTGAATCTTGGAGCTCTTCACAGCAAGTGATCTTTGACACAGAAGGTACCAGCTCCAGTGAGTCATCCTTGCTTGGAACGGTAAGGAATGAATTTATTTATTCCATTATTCTCAGCCACTGCCCAAATTAGCTTGAGGGTAGTTTACAACAATGTTCCTGTATTATTCTCAGGTTGAGTTTTCCATCTTATTTCTGTAGCCAAGTCAGTTGTATCATGAATGTCGTTGTTAGGAAACTTGACAAACCGGTTATACTTGTTTAGGTTGCTTCTGAAATGAAGCTTGAGGAACTGAACCAGAAATCTGAAAGATGTGAACCCGCTGTAGAAAAGGCTACTGTGGAACTGGAGCATGGTATAGACTGTGGTCAAGCTCCAGACCAAAAGTGTGATCATGCCCCAGCGAAAGCTGCAAAGGTTTGAAGTACTTTGTTTGCCTTGAATGTATCACTGGAATTATACACAGCTTAGAAGTTGTGCTGGGAATATATTTTCTTATACAGCTGTGTTGCTTGAGATTGTGCTCCCCTAGGCTCCAAGCAAGTGCAGGGAGGCAGATGAAACTGCAGATACAAATAAGGAAGCTTTTGGGTCTAGGCCTGGCAGTATGAAGAAAACCAGGAGGTGAATGCACGATTATGTTGTGTGTACAAGTAGAAACATATATGGTGATCGTGCAACAACCAATTGGTCTCGGGGTTTGGTTGAGCAGGAGGTTACAGCCAGCTGCAGCTATGTTGCTTAGGGAATTCACTGGAACTGACATTGATGCGGATAACGAAATGGTACGTATGTATGCATGTATTCTGAAAATGGCAGCAGAAGTTTTGGAATGCACATATAGGTCGGGTTTGCTTGTTGACTTGGGCCGCGGTTGGTGGTGATTACAGGAAGAAAGATGCAGGTCATCATCCAGATCTAGGGTGCCAACCGGGAGATCAGATGCACTTGTGCAACTTCTGATGAAAGGCCATCTAGGCGGTCCAGTCCGTAGAGCATAGTGTAGCTTCATGATGTGGTGAAGCTAAAGCTAACTGTAGAGGTGGCACCGCATGACACGGCACATTATTTTGTAGCAGTTCGTTGACAGATGAAAAAAAAGCCATGTTGTGTTGTGTTTAGGCCGGTCCAGGATCTGTGTCTCCCTCGCCTGCTAGTAGTACGTAGTAACCAGCAGCATGGGTTTGATGTGAGTATGTGAGCAAGGCGGTTTGTAGAAAGGTGCTTGCTGCACTTGCACTTGATCTATGTGTATAATACTCCTGTGGTAGTCTTCTTGTGGATGTGATCGCAGTTGCATATGCTGCTGCTTCGTTGAGAAATGAAAGTAGTAATTATTATTGTCATGGACCTGGGAAAAAAACACCAAGCTGGGCCTCGGCGGATGCTGGAGAGGATCAGAGCAGAGCGAATGGACGGCGCAGGAGTTACCGACCATGATTTAGGGTATGTTTGGATCTATTAATATGGGGCTGTTTGGATGCACCTGCTAATAGATGATTGGATAGTGAGTTGAATGTGCATATAAACAAATAGATGATTGGATAGTGAGTTGAATGTGCATATAAACTATTAGTACCTCTTAGCGACTCTAAACCTGCAAGTGAATTATGTGTGTGCGTCGGTACTGAGTACTGTCTCTTTCCCCTTCCGAGAGCGTGTCCCTGTGAGATCCGCTCGTCTCCAGCAATTGTTTAGGCAATCTTCTTGAGCATTGAACATAGTAGATGCTAAAATGTCAGGAATTGTGCTTGTCTTCTTAAACCATACAACCCATCATTCAAAAGAGCAGTGAACTACTAGTCTACTGGTATGTTTAAAGACTTGCATACTTTTATTGCGTTTTTTTATTGCATGAGTAAGTCTTTAAAATGCTTTAATTAATTATGAAAAATTTGCTGTCTCAATAAGCGGAATTTTTTTTGGGAATACTCGATAAGCGGAATTTAATCGGCGGTAGTGGTGTAGTTTTGCAATTTTCTATAATAAAAAAGAATTTAAATTAAAAAAATAAAAAAATCTGCTGGAGAGGATGAGAGCCTATGAAGGGAATGGCCGGCCCCGGAGTTGCCGACCATGAGAGTCATAACTACACATGTCTCGCAGATGGCTTGTTTTCAACTTAGATGAACTACCTCTTTTCTCATGGAGCATGTTCGCCGATTGTGACTCTTATCCTTACACAGGCTACATTTGACCTTAGATTTCTTCGTATTTGAAATTGACTTCAAATTTTTCTTGGGGCCCCTCTTCCCGGCACATGCAAGGGATCCAGCACATTACTGAACGCTACAGAATCAACATCCGGGGCTTGTGGCAGCACTGGACCATACCTCTTGCCTCTGTTATCTCCTTCATTTGATAGGTTCATAGCAACTTCATCCTGCAGAACGTGTTTCAGTCGTTCATATGATTCAAGTGAACGAGATGCTGCCAAGGCTGTAGCGTGACTGATATTGCGTAGCTCACGGTACCTCTGTAGGCTTTCGGAATAGTCATACATGGTACTCTTCCTTTTCGGAGGAAATGCACTCTTCGCCCCCATTGTCCACCTTTTCAAAACACAACAGTCTGGAAGCTTGTCTTCATCCAGATCGCCCAATACAAAGAAGATGTGTGAGCAGGGGGTTCCAATCGATTGTAACTTACCACAAGAACAAGAAATTCCCTTCAGATTGTCTTCATCACAAAATTGACATTTGACATAGTACATCATGTCTCTTTTATCCTTCCTGCCAACAATATACTCACTCATATTATCGCCATCTAGAATGTCAATAAAAAAACACTTCTTGGCTGCCTTTATGCTGAATTGTACCGTGGTGAAAACTGTTGGAGTGAACGATTTCACGGCTTCTATCTCAATAATTGAAGCATCTGCTTCTGTGCATGCCTCAGATTGCAATGCATCAGTGTCCAACTTTGCCTCATTTGTGCGCAGCCCTGAAAGGCAGTGCTCCACGTGTTTTACCATGTCAAGCAATGTCATTTTATGATCTAGACGCATATGAAGCCTAGAGTTTAGGCTCTCACTCCGTTGGTTGCTCCTCAGTCCTAAGTAGCACTTACCAGCATGATACGAAGCACACCAGATTTCCCTCATATCATACATCTGATACAACCATGACTCTTTATTTGTACCCTTATGCTTATCCAAAAATCCCTGCCATTTTCTCTCGGTCTCTTCTATGGACCAACAATCATAAAGGAAACTCCTGAATTCATCCTTGACAACATCATCCTTAAGATTACACACAATGTTCTGCTCAATATGTCATATGCAAAGTCTATGCGATGAATTCAACCACACCAGCCTGATTGCTCTTTGCATAGCAAGGTCTCCATCAGTGATCACGGAGATCGAATGCTTCTGAATCATGGCCTCAGAAAATGTACTCATCAACCACACATATGACTCAATATTCTCATGAGAAATAATTCCACATCCAAAAATAACTGTGCTTCGATGATGATTCACCCCAACAAAAGGAACAAGGGGTAGGTTGTACCGATTAGTTTTGTAGGTGCTATCAAATACAACGACATCACCAAATGCTTCATAATCAAGCAGACATTGACTATCACACCAAAATAGTCTCTTCAGGTGTCCTTTTCCATCAACCATGTACTTGAAAAAGAAATCAGGATCTCTGCGCTGAAGTTCTGTCAGGTAACTGATGACTGTTTGAGCGTCACCGGTAGCAATTGTCTCCGCCTTATAGCGATGGCAGAAATTATACAAGTCCCTTGTTGTACACCCAACCTTATCAAACCCACCATACTGCATTTCCAAAATATCCATTATCTTGTGCTTGCGGATCTCAGAACTCTCCATCTCCACAATCTCAGCTTTCTGCTCATCGCTGATTCTTCTATGTGAACGTAGCAGACAAGTAAGCTCTGCTGGCGCCATCGGATGGTTGTGTTCATCGATGAAATCCTTCACATACCACTGCCCTGTGATCTAATCTCGTGCAATCACAAATTTAGCAAGGCATCCAACATGGGTAATATTTCGCTGCTTCCACTTCTTAATCGCCCTCTTCAGCTGCTTCTCTTCATGGAAACCTTGACGACTGCAAACAAACTTCCTGTAACAGAACCGACCAATTATACAAAATTAAGTAAGAAAATCATCCGCCAGAGCAGACGATTTAGCAAACTTAAGCCCATATAACCCGGTAGTCCATGAAATCACGAAGGATTTCAAATCAACTTACATCCCAGCCAAGATCGTAATAAGTTTAGCGGTCACCATCACATATTACATAAAAGTTCGCATCTCAGATACATCAGAGTTTAAAACATAGTTATTACAAAACGAGTTCGAATAAAAGTAGCGGAAGCCATTTGTTTAAAACCACACACACTCACACGGAGTTCAAATACAGTGCCAACTGATGATCATCTTCAACAAAAGCATTAGACGAGACGTATGGAATGACCATGCCCATGGTCCTAAGCATCACCCATCGCAGGATAAAGGCAGTTGATACAGTAGCTGTAATACATCTGGCCATCTGCAACAAGTGGGAATAAAACCCTGAGTACGAGAAGGTACTCAGCTAGACTTACCCGACATAACCAAAAATAAAGTGACACCAAGGATTATGAAGGGCTTTATAGTAGGGTAGCTGACTCATTTGCAAAAAGAGACATTTTTAGCATTTCAAGAACCTTTCCAAAGCATTATTGTCAAGTTAATTATTATTAACCTGTCGACTACATTTGCACATACACTAGGGCAAGCATGTGATTTAGCAAATAATGATAACCAATGATCATTAACAACTTCCATAATGTCATATTCATTATAACTGTCCAAGTGTTCCATCAACATTACTACGATGAAGTCACTCAAGTCAAGTGCTCACTATCCAGGAGCGATAGCGATTCAAATCGATTCCTAACCAGCTGGTGATTTATTCCTTACACAAACCTCACTCACCCGCTAAAGTGAGGTATTGATCACCGAGTCAACTATCCAGGAGTGATGACGATTCGAATCGATTCCTAACCAGCTGGTGATTTATTCCTTACACAAACCTCACTCACCCGCTAAAGTGAGGTATTGATCACCGAGTCAACTATCCAGGAGTCTCGAGTTTGCTAGGAACCACATGTACCCGGGGGCCGACCGACTGCACTTTGGTCTTATCATCTCGCCCCCGTGTCCTACCACACACTGCTTCCCAAGACACAGTCTTGCATGGGGCAATCTACTCGGCCCGAATAATCTCCCAGCTTCACGGTCGGAAGGTACTTTATCCGGCCAGCTAAATGTAAGGCATGCGTTCAACATGACTCGAGGCCCAACAACGGTCGGTCCTTAATCGACACAGACGGAAAGCACTACAGTTCAAAACTCTGTAAGTCTCCGTCCGGTCTCAACTTCATTTAACACTTAGTTATACCATGACTACATAGTTATCCAAGTAGATCCAGGTAACCACCTATAGCTCACAGGTGATAGAAAATCACCCGACTTCTACCGGTCTAAGCCAGCTAAGCATTGACTCGACTACGGATACCAGGGTAACAAGGATAGGGTATAACAAAGGTAGACAAGGTATAATGCAGCAACGGTTGCAAACAACTCCTGAACGTAATGCATCAATTAAAGTAAAGCAGTTAATTAATAATTGCAAACCGGGAGAAAATGCTTGGGCTTGCCTCTCTCTCGAGGAGCTCGGGCGGTGATCGGGCACTCTGGAAGTTCCTCAACGTCCTCCTTGTCGGCCGGGCACCTCCTCTACCAAGACTCGAGCTGCTCCTCGGGCTCCTCGGGTATGACGACCGGGTTCTCGGTTTGCGATCCTGTATGATGCAATGTGCGTAAGTGCTTATGCAATCGATTACATCGGATGAGATGAATACAATGGATATGCTTGAATGCAAGGTAGTCAACATCATCCAAAAACATATACTACAAGCACATGTCATCTACTGCCTTCTCTTCTACTACTAATATGCTAAGTCAACACATCTTATTAAATTCTTC